CCCTCTGACTTCTTGTGCATTGAGAGGTGGGAACTGAAAATAAAAACTCTGGTGATCAGTAAATTTGTCTGCTTTCCTTTCAGAGCTCTCTAAACTAACAGCCATTCCAGCCTCTTGTGCCATAAAATCCCATCCATCAATTGGAACTGGCCCAGGGGCAGGGACCAGGTTTTACCCATATCCCTCTGGGCTGCACCAATGCAAAAATAAAGGCAACATAAAACTTCTAGTCACTTCTCATTTCAGCCAATTTTTGTTGTCACAGAAGGGAGTTTTTAGAGATCAAATAAAACCCAACTGTTGCATCTTCTTGTGTTTTGCAGCAGGTAAGGTGATTTGGGAGCACTCTCCTTGCAGTCCAGGGGCTATGGCAGGGGTAGGCAATCTAAGGCCCGGGGGCCAGATGCAGCCCTCCGAGGCCTTTGGACCGGCCCAGGCTGGACCTGCTGCCGCCGCCCCCCACCACTGCCACCCCCTGCCATGATGATATTGATTATTGTTGTTATTACTTGTTCTTGGGGTTTTCTTGGCAAAATCTCCACAGGGGTTTTGCCATGGTTTTTCTAGGGCTGAGAGAGTGTGCATGCATATATTTTTTAATTTTTAAATTTGTTTTAATTATATTTATTTATTTATTTATTTATTTATTTTTGGTGCTTCGGCCCCCCCAATTGTCTGTGGGACAGCAACCCGACCCCCAGCTCAAAAAGGTTGCCTACCCCTGGGCTATGGGGAATCTCCTGAGGTCCTTGTAGGGCCACACGTGGTGCATGGAATGCACCTTCCCACCCATGTGATATGAATGGTGGTCCTTGTCTCCCTCATCTCCACAAGCACATTTGGTGGAGCTACGGCATAGGGCCTTTTAGGTGGTTGCCCCAGGCTCCCTTCCTATGGGAGCTGGACTGGCCCTCTCCTTACTGTCTGTCACCTGGATATCCAAACAGGCTGTTGAGAACAGAATGTGTTTTTTTTTTAAAGAAAGGGCTTTCAACAAAGTGTTGTACCACAGGTACAGTAACCCTCATCTGGAATTAAGAAAGCGAAAATACTCCAAAATCCAAAATTGTCCACATGGGTGGCTGAGATAGTGACATTTCTGCTTTCTGATATTTCAGTGTACACAAATTTTGTTTCATGCACAAAATTATTTAAAATATTATGAGCTACAAATATTTTAAAATATTGGTATGAATGTTTAGTGTGAAGGGCACCCAGATCTCCCCAATCCTCTAGCTGATGTTGCTGATGTTTGGTGACTCCTGGGTGAGTGGAACAGTGAATCCGCTCTGGGTTTTAAAATGAGCAGGGAGCTGTCCAAGCTGTTGAATATAAAATTGCATTCAGGATATGTTTATAATCTATATATGAAATATACATGAATTTTGTGTTTAGACTTGGATCCCATCTCCAGGTTATCTCATTATGTATATACAAATATTCCAAAATCCAAAAAACTCCAAAATCCAAACAACATCTAGTCCCAAGTATTTTTAGAGAAGGGAGACTCAACCTGTATTCTTTTTTAAAAAATATTGTATTAATAAAGTTTATTAATTAAAAGAACAACAACATAAAAACATATTTACACACGTACACATAAAGAGACTTACAAAAGAATCCTTGTACATAATTCATCTTTTATACATCCTCAGATTGAGATATATTCAAGTACTTCTTTTAGCTCATTTACATTCTACTTACACTCCTTTATCTTTTTCATTCGTCCTCCACATTCTCCCCTTCCTTTCATTTACTTTCATATCTTCTACCCTTCCTCTTCATCCGTTCCTCTACTCAACCTCTCTCCTCATTCCTACCCTCTCCCCCTTCTCAACATCCTCATA